ACTGTTCCACCTGACCTGTTGAGGGGTGTGGTCATCCCTCTCTGGAAAGGGAAGGGGGAACAATGGGACTGCAGCAACCACTAAGACATCACACTGCTCAGTATTCCAGGCAAGGTTCTCACCCACATCCTACTGCAATGTATCAGAGACCACCTATTGAGGTATCATAGACTGGAGCAATCTGGATTCACTCCTGGTAAGTCTACAATAGACAATATCCTTGCACTTCAAGTTAGAGTGCCGTTGTGAGTTCAGGTGTGGGCTGCTTGCAACCTACATCGACCTCAGGAAGGCGTTTGATACAGTGCATTGGGAATCATTCTGGGAGATCCTGAGACTGAGAGGAATTCCATCAAGGATTACTGAACTAATAGTAAGTCTGTATACTGGTACTGAAAGTGCTGTAAAGTGTGGTGGGGGGCCTGTCGAACTCCTTTCCTGTTCAGGAGTGAACTAATAGGAAAGAAGCATGCAGGGACTGGATACTGGGCAGAGCTACTGTCCAAAGTCATTGTGGAGCAACACTGAGCAATATCAAGGTTACCGACCTTGACTTTGCTGATAACGTTGCTATTCTATCTTTTGAATCCTTAGTGGTGGCTCTAGATGCATTTAGTAATGAAGCAAAGCCCTTGGATCTAGAGGTCTCCTGGACCAAGACCAAGATCCAGGACTTTGGGGACTTGCTAGTCGGTATGTGCTACCAGCAAGGACATTGAAGTCACAGGTCACATACCCTGGAAGTATAGTTCATATCTCTGGGCTGTCAAACCTGGAAGTCAGCAGACAAATTGGCCCAGCAGCAAGGGTCATGAACTCTCTTGACAAGAGTATTTGGAGATGCCGGTACATGTGCAGAGGCCTAAGCTATGTGTCTTCAGGGCCCTAATAATGCCAGCTTTACTATACGATAGTGAAACCTGGACATTATCCTGTGCCTTGGAGTCTCTTCTTGATGCCTTTTGTAATAGGTCCTTGTCCAGGATCTTAGGGCACTGTTGGCAGAACCACGCATCTAATCAATGATTGCATCGTGAGGCTGGCACAGTACCTGCTACCTGCACAATCTTTGATTGCCAACTCAGGCTATACGGCCACCTGGCCCACTGTCCGCAGGATGATCCTGTCCACCAGGTTGTCTCTGTTTGAGACAATCCTGGGTGGAGGAGGCCTGTGGGTCGACCTAGGAAGTCGTGGCTTCGGCAGATCAATCAAACCTGTCATGAGGAGTTCGAGATGGTCTGAGTCCCTGCCTCCCGGCTTGCTTTACGGGACCCACGCGGGTGGGGAAACGAAGGGTGCATGCACCTGTGCCCCGTCGGCGTTAGCTCCATGATGATGATATATAATATATATATATATATATATTTATATATATATATATATATATATATATATAGTGCGTGTATGTGTGTATGTGTTTATGTATGTTAATGTATACATAATTATATAGTGTTTATGTTTGTGTGCACATGCGTGTGTGTGTGTTTGTTATGTGCGTGTGAGTGTGTGTTTGTTTATGTGTGTGTGCGCATGTGTGTGTGTATATGTTATATATATATATATATATATATATATATATATATATAATATATATATATATATATATATATAAGTATAAATATATATATATATATATATATATATATATATATATATATATATATATATATATAATATATAATATATATAATATACATATATATATATATATATATATATATATATATATATATATATATATATATATATATATATCGAATTAATCGTAATGAATTAATTATTCAGGTGATGTGTATCGTGCTCGCTCATTACTGGATTCGTCGGATGTGCAATAAATCGAAACGCAGCTGGAGGACAGATGAATAAAAGATTTTTTCCTTTTTTCTTTTGCTGAATCGACTTTTAGTTACCCTCAGCCTTTCGTGTTCTTTCATCCGTTGAAATCCTTTTTTCCCTCTGTCTTACTTCATGTTTACTATTCTCGCGGTTATAACTATGATGAAACTGATGGTGATCATAATAATGTTTACTGTTGTTGATATAGTAGTTTTGTGCGTTTAATGCCCGATTACCTTTATGCATTAAATGCGTACGGGTGTACATACATTTACACTTATCTCTATATGCACACAAACACACACACACACACACACACACACACATACACATACACATACACATACACATACACATACACACACAAACACACACAACACACACACACACACACACACACACACACACACACACACACACACACACACACACACACACACACACACACACACACACACACACACACACACACACACACACAAACACACAAACACGCAGACGCATACATATATACGTATGCATATATAATATATATATATATATATATATATATATATATATATATATATATATATATATATATATATATATATATATATATATATATATATACATACACACACATATATACATGTACACACACACACACACACACACACAC